TACACAGATAAAGAGTGTCTCCTTTGTATCTACTAGAAGGGGAAAGATTTAAAGGAAAAGGGAGAGAAAGAGGGAGAGATTTGTCTCTTCTTCTCTGAAGGAAAAGAAAGAAGCAGGGGAGACTGCTTACTCAATCTGAAGCTGGCGAGAGAGCTGTTTGGCACTCTCAGCACAAGCTGCTGGGCTGATCTGATGTGTTGAGGTCTCAAGTGGGTCTTTTCCCAGAGCAGGAGCGGGGACAGTAGGCTGGTCTCCCCAAAGGAGTACCCGTGTTCTGGGTTTCCAGCACCAAATGTTAAAATGCGTGCTCTGAATGCATTTTAAATTCATTTATTAATGGCTGTTTATTCACCTGGGTGCAGCAGGCTGAGTCTGAAGAGAGTGTCAGTGGAGGGCGGTGGGAGCAGAGTTGGTTTTATAGGTTTGGGGTAAGCAGAGGAAAGTTACAGAAGTTACAGTGTAGGGCGGTTTTTTGAAGCTGGGACGGGGTTGTAGGGTCTGGAGTCATGAGGTTGACCAAGGTCGGTTACAGAGTCCAATGGCTTTATCAGTTGAGGCCAGAATAAGAAACAATAGAAGAATGTCTCAAGTTAGTTAGGTGCTACATGGGTTGATCTTTCTTCCGCTTTTCATGGTCTTCTTCCAGTTAATTCAGGTTTTCTAATTCTGGAAGGCCCTCCAGAGGTGGAGGTCACGGGGGTCACCATAGCATCCATGGTGCCATCAGTCAGCCTGAAAGATGTTACGCATATAAAATAGTTTTAGAATTACACTAGTATTGGGATTTCTTTGCACTTCATCTTGTGCTTAGAATATATCTCAGTAAGGGTATATAGACGGATTACTATATTCAGAAGTTACTTTTTTATTTTCTGTGTGTTTATCAATTTGATACACAACTAGGTTCATTTGTTTTTATTTAACTTTATTTCTGAGGTGTACTTCTTTTTCTGTTTTAAAACTTAACTTTGTGTGAAACATTTATGTGGTTCAAATGTCAAAACTATATATAAAAAGATATTCTTAGGAAGTCTCCTACCTTTTTCCCTTTCATCCATCTCTGGTAGGTAACTATCTTCATGGTTTTCCGGGTTTTTTCTTCTTTTTCTTTTTTGCAAAAAAAAAAATAAATGATATTTGCATATGACAGGGATCTTACACAAACTTTTTCTGCCATTGTGGCATAAAAGCAGCCATAGACAGTTGACAAACAAATGAGCTTGCATTACATATTTGCAAAGACAGAAGTTGGGCCAGATTTGGCCTGCAGGAGTTGTTTGCTGCTGGCTGTAAGATGTAGATATATTCTCATACAAAAGCGCGTATATAGTGTACTGTCAAAAAAAAAAAAAAAAAACAGTGATACTTGTTAAAGTATATAGTAAGGCAAACTTTTTTCAAGACCATTGTGATAGGTAGAGGGGATGTGGCAATGGGATTTTGCAATGGAGTAGAGAGATTGGATTTAACTCCAAACACAGCATGGGCAAGTGGGAATTTGCAGCCAAGGAGGAGGTTGGAGGGTCAGTAGATGGAAAATTTCTAAGAGGAAACATGAAGGGTCAGGGGGGTTCTGACTAAACCAACCTAACATGATTCTTAGTGAAAATATTCCAGGGTAATCCGACATCACCGGGGGATGGTGGAGGATGAAGAACCTGACCAGATACATAGGTGATCAGATAGCAAGGGTTGGGGGATTCTTACTGAACTGAATTAGCAAGATTTTTTGCTAAAACTTGATTTTACAAGTAATTGTATAGATGGGCCTAGGAGAAGGTTCAGGAGCGTAAGTCTTTGCCATGTACTAGTTGGTACCTTGCTTTTGTTTCCCTAACAAATATATCCTGGAAATTACTGCCTCTTCCTCTTAGTTCCTAAATAGCATCACCCCTCCACCCCTTTAAAAAATTTTTTTAGAGACAGGGTCTGTTCCCCAGGCTAGAGTGCAGTGGTGTGATCATAGTTTACTGCAGCTTCAAGTAGCTAGGACCACAGATACCTGGCTAATTTTTTGCTGTTGTTGTTGTTGTTGTTGTTTTTAAAGAAATTGGGTCTCTCTGTGTTGCCCAGGGGTGTCTTGAACTCCTGGCCTTAAGCTGTCCTCCCACCTCAACCTCCCAAAGTACTGGGATTCAGGTGTGAGCCACCACACTGAGCCCTTCCCCCTCTTTTTATGGGTGAAGAATATTCCATTATATAGATACATCATAGTTTATGTAACTAGGACCCTATAGATGAACATTTAGGTTGTTATCAGCATTTGACTAACCTAAATAATAGTGCAGTTAATAATCTTATGATTTTTTATATGTGTAACCTATTCTCTTATAAAAGTAACACTCTTTATCAAATTTAGAAAAACAATCCTGAAATGTATGGAGTTAAAACTGAAACTGTTGCATTACAGTCCTCCTCTCCCCCAAAATTGCTAACAGTGGATCAGTGTGCTTCAGACCCTTCTTTTGTTGCAATTGGTGGTAGTTTTGTCATCCCATACTTAACATGTAACTATATTCTCAGGCTAACGTATTTTACAAAAATGTGATCATGCTACACGTATTATGACTTGATCTTTTTATTTTATGTGGTTTTAAATACCCATCTGTTGAGTTACATCATTCTTTTTTCTTCTTTAAAAAAATAAACTCAGCTTATTTTCCCAAGTCAACCTTATTCTTCTTTCTGATAGTTTATAATATGAATGTACCATAATTAGCCATTTCTCTATTGATATTTAGACTGTTTTCAGTTTTTCAGTATGATAGACAGCTACAGTTAATATCCTGGAACATATCTTTGCATATGTACTAGTATTTCTATAGAGTAGATTCCAGAAGGTGAAATGGTTAAGTCACTGTCATTGATTTACACTTGTGCAATGTCTTCCTCACACCCTTGCCAATACCCAGTATTAGCAATGTTTTTAATATTTGCCAATCTGTACCTATGCAACAATCTTGCATGTTCTTCACGTGTACCCCAAAACTTAAAACACAATAAAATATATTTTTTTAAATGCGCCAATCTGATGGATAAAAAAAGGATGTCACCTGATTGTTGTAATTTAGTATTTTTCTGTTTGCTACTGAGATTGTTAGTTCAGGCTTATTGCCCACTAATTTCTTTCTTTTTTTTTTTTTTTAATGGTGCTTTTATTTACAAGTATACTCATATCTGAACTTTGGCTGCTCAAACTCGGGGATTAAATAGATTTGTGTAAATGTTTTAAAGAATCCTGAATGTATGTAGTCTTTCCACTTTCCTTCCAAAATCAAATTGATTCAGATAAAAAAGTATCCATCATTTCCTAACTTGCCATCCAAATTCTGGCTGTCCAAAATTAGGAACTAAAAAAATTCAGATAAGAGGGATACTTATATTCTCATATGAATCTTTTGTTATATCCGTTACAGATTCTCTCTTCTGGTGTATTTTTTATCTTGTTTATGTAGTTTTATAAAATAAAAAATTGTACATTTTTATGTTGAATATCTGTTGATGTTTGTCTCTATAAATTATAGGATTTTGCTTCGCTTAGATTGTCTTTTGCCACCTAAAATTTTTAAAAGTCTATTTTATTTTAGCCATATATGGTAATTTTTAGACACTAGAATTTTTAGATACATGAATTTATTTTTATGCATAATCAGTTTTGTCAATGTTTTTAATAATTCATACTTTGCATTAATCTTAAATATATCCTTTATCATAAATCAAATTCTTACATATATAAGGGTCTGTTCCAGGATGTGTTCCTGCAGCAGTGCCATATTGTTTTAATGAATATTTCGATATCTAGATGGGAAAGTTTCTGGTTCTCTTTCATATATCTGTTTATTATTGCTTAATTCTTCCAGATACATTTTATCTTATTTTCATCCACCCCTCCCCCACCCCTACCCCCACCTTCGGTACATTTTAGAGGGGGAAAAAAAAAAAAAAAAACCTGACTTGTTCATTTATGCTGCTTCGAGCAGTGCATGAGAATGTGCGTAGGTCTGGGAAAGACTGGCTAGGAGTCTGGAAGCAAGGTTAAGACTTGCGTAAACCTAGAACAACTAACGATAAGTAATCTGTCCCCTAACCGGGGAGAAATCCAATAGGTTTGCAACACTTTTGAGTGTGTTACCTAAGTGTTTGTTTAGTCAGCTCTTTTTGGTTTAACCCCCTCTAGTTCACCTTTTTAACCCTTCACAGTCATTTCCTGTAATTATCATATTTCCTGTATACATCTCTTCCCTCTTCCTGGCATTTCTGTCCATCCCCATGGGCCCCATGGCCCAGTTTTCCATCTTGGGAGATCTGATTTGTTCCTAAAGGCTCCATTCAGATATTCCCTTTTCTGGGAGGTGTTTATACATGCCAATGCTAAGAAGTAAGAATGTTGTTCTAACCTTTGTGCATTATTTATTCCAGCATTATTACTATTATCAAACTTTTGGCTGAATCAGGACACATGATACATATGATAAATGTTTGTTGAAAAACAATATCTCTGCTTTCAGGGAGCTCACCAGAGAATAAAAAGAAAGGCTTAGGATAAGAGAAAAATAGACATGAAAGGAGACAGTGTGTGTGTGTGTGTGTGTGTGTGTGTGTGTGTGTGTGTGTGTGTG